AAAAAAGAGAGTTATAAACGCAGAGAAAGACGAATGTGAAGACAGATTCATGAATAATAGTGATGTTGTCGATAATGATGGCAATTCTCGAACATCATTCATTCATATGTCTCATATTTTTCGAAAAGAAAAGAAAAGAAAAGAATAGAACCAAACATACTCAATGACAAGTAGGTGTAGAAGTGCCTATGGAGTATAGATATGGATATAAAAAAAAGACTTAGTAATAGCATTATGAAAACACCCTAACTTGCTCCCATGTTTCTTCTTTCTTTCAACAAGAATAAAATCCTTTTTCATCTGATTATTCTATTCTCTCGCTCTCTTCCTATCTCAAGTTTCTTTCTTTAGAAAGTAATGGCAATCTTTAATCCATCTTAAATACCACTAGTTAATGAAATTACCTAGAGCATTTCTTTTTTTTTCATTTTGCAAAAATAATCCAAAGAAAAAAACACACAAAGGTACAATAAACAATTTTTTTTTAATATAAAATTAAATTAGTTCAACAAATTGATATTCTTTCCAAGCAATATATAATGGAAATGCTAAACATGGTGAAATAATAAATACAAGAGCAAAAATAAAACAAGCAATTAATCTTTTAATTTTTGATGATTGAATTCGATAGGTTTTACCAATAGATAAATATTCATTTGTAATAATAAATAAAATAAGACCAATAAATATTGATACATAATCAATAGACCAAATAACTGTGATTGGATTGACCATATTTGATATTTCAGTCACATAACTTCTTTTTATTAGGTCATTGGACCAATGCATGATAAGAGAAACAAATGTTATAAAAAAGAGTGGAGCTGATAAAATAAATAGAATTATTTGAGAATAAACAATAAGTCGATGACTATTAATAATCCAACAACGTTGGATACATTCCGAAAATAAACGAACCGGTAACGATATAAGAGCAAAACCAAGCGGAGATATTAGAAGAATTATCGACATTATAGACACAATTAATTTATTTGATGAAAGAAAATATACTAGATATGTTGGAGTTATAATTATTAAAATGATATAAATAAGTCCGGTATATAAAATATGAATTGGTACAGGCGATTTATTTAAGTTATTTTCTGATTTATAAAAATAAACATATGATGGAATAAACAATATTGGAAAACAAGCTCCAATACCAATAATAAGAAATATTGTTTGAATTATCATTTGTCCAAGGAGACCAGAAACATTCGTTCGAGTTGATTCAACAATAATATGAAAAAAAACACTTGCATAAGTAAGTAAAAGTGATATCATTATATAACGATCCCATTGTGTTAAAAGAGCATTATTAATAATCAAACGTATATAACAAAGTACAATTGGTTGTGTATCATTTTTACATTCATTGACTAGATTAGAAGATAAGTTCCACTTAATAGATGTTACAATAAATCCAACAAGACATAATAATCCTACTAGAATGGAAAGAATAACGATTATGTATTTAAAAATACGCTTTGATCGATTTGAAGAATTTTGTGAAGTATCGAAATCCAGAAGATGCATTCTTGGCTTGTTGGTTCGATATTAACAATATAATATTTTGTTACGTTGACGTTTTATTATCTTTTTTACATGATAAGCTTTCCTTTTGATAAGAAATATGAATGATACGTTTATTTTCTTTTCTTTTCTTTTGTATTAATATTCAAAAGGCATGATGTCATGAAAAGAAACATGACAAAGTTTATTTTATTAGAAAACAAAAATGCAGTTTTATCTTTGATAAAGAATCTTGAATTCAAAGGATATTTTAAATATTATTTTGATTAATTACATTACAATACTCAATAACAATAATTAATCTATTGGTTATTTAAAATACAGCTATGTCCATATTTTTAATATCATGTTCAACTTCTAAATATTTTATTTTCCAAGACATTTGTTTATTCGATATGATTAATAGTTATGTCAAATGATTTATCATTGTGACAAGAATAAATTTTGTATGCTTAATCATTTAATTGAATATTTTTGTGTGTTAGCACAAATTTTTTATTGATGTTTGAGAGTATATCTAAGTTTTCTATGTCTAACATATATAACAAAATGCTGTAAAAAAAAATATGTCTCCCTTCACGTACTACAACCGATCAACTACTATAATGTATAAATATTCATGAGATATACATCCGCAAATAGTTTATATATATATGAGACTTTCATAAAACTATGATTACTTTTTCTGATCTATTCTATATTGACTCGATTATTTTATCAATATATAATTCATCCTATTTATTTGATCTTGTTTTATTTACAGATATTTTTCCTATTTGATTTTTCTACTTTCATCTGTAAGCTGAATTAAATAAATATCATTAATTTAATTTTGTAAGAAAAAAAATGTTGACAAGAAAGTGTATGCTAAATGTATTAAGAACAACAGAAAAAAACGTAAAGATATAGAAAATTGTTATATTTTATTGAATGCACACTCAGATATTTCATTAGTGATTGATATTATGAAGAAAGACAAACGAATCATCATAATTAAACACTTTAAAGATTTTCACAAAAAAGAATATATGCAACTTTATATCACACGAAAATTTGTGGGCAAATAAAAACTATAAGAAGAATACGGAAAAATGAAAAAAAAAGTTCTACAAGCTAGATTCAACATTAGAGAACGTTTCAACTACACATCTATATTGTTTTCTTTGGTTTGTGACTAAATTTCAGATTTTTCTGAGTTTATATTTGCAGTAGATAAATTGATATGGGCATCATATAATAATTTGGAAAAGGCAGAATTTGGATTTGCAGCTAAACGTTTTGGTTCATCATATTCTTGTAAACGACCATTAGATAAAACGAGAATTCTACATATGAAAAAAAAGAACATGAATAATTATTTCTATTGAAATAGAACACAAGAGCATACTTTGTGCTATCTAAAATTGTATGAAGTCGATGGGCAATAGTTAATACTGTTGCATCTTTAAAAGCCGATCGAATTGTCATCTGTATTAATCGATCTGTTTCCATATCAATAGCTGAAATAAAAGACCAGAAGAATCACACGATAACTATACACAAAGACTTAATTACCAGCTGTTGCTTCATCAAGTACAAATATTTTACTCTTTCGTAATAAAGCTCTTGCCATACATAATAATTGTCTTTCACCAGCACTAAATACCCGAAAAGGATGTTTTCTTATGTGTTTTTTTGATCTTATAGGTTTTATTCAAAGTTTACCTTAAATTTTCTCCACCTTCGGTTAATAAATGTGAAAGACCATCTTCTGTCGAACTAATACGTGCTTTCATATGTACTAATTCTAATGCTGCCCAAATTTCTGTATCACTATAAGTGCCGAATGGATCAACATTAAATCTTACTGTTCCAGCAAAGATGAACGCATCCTTAATAATAACAAGAAATGTTTTTATTCTAAATCGATGTATTTAATTACTTGTGGAATGATGGTAATTCTTGATCGAACATCATGTAAACCAATATGACGAATATCAATATTATCAATAATTATTTCACCATTTGCAGGTTCAATTATACGAAATAGTGCAATACAAAAACTACTTTTTCCACTACCTGTACGTCCAATAATACCAATCTAGATACAAATATAATAATAGATTAATTTAAATATTTAAGTTTTTTTTTATTTACTTTTTCTCCTGGTTGAATATTAACTGTAACATCTTGAAGAACTAAATCTAAATTTTCACGATATCGTATCGATAATTTATTAACTCTGAAATAAAAACAAACAAACAATAACAATTTAAAATCCATGCTAGAAACAAAAAAAAGGAAAAATCATTGCATACTGAATTTCTCCTCTAGTGGGCCACTCAGCTCGTGGTTTTTTTTCTGATATTTCCCATGGAGCTTCTGGTTTTAATGCAGCATATTCATTCACACGTTCTACACTAACAATATTTGTTTCAATGTCACTTGCCATACGAACCATCCAATTAAGTGATTGAGTTATTTGCATTGCATAAGTTATTGTTAAACCAACAATACCTGCTGTAAGACGATCACGCATAAGAACAGCAAATAAAGCTGTAGATAATGTTAATGCATTGGCAATAGCTTCCAAACGTATTGCAAGCCATCTATGAATCAAGAAAAATATACTTTTTATAATATAACTATTATTTTTTCTTCGATAACCAATGTCTTAAAACAGCATCCGTACTATTATTTATTTCTATCTCATCACAACATTTCTACAAACAGTTATTTGCAAATATTTTCTTTATGATTTAAGAGAAAATCAATTCAATAAAATGACATATTTTTCAAATTCAATATCAAAAGTTCTGTCCAAACTAATTAAACTTATAACTAACCTATTCGCGATACAACTAGCAAAATAACATGATTGATTTCTATCAAGTAATCGATCTGATATATCAATAAAACGTTGTTGTACATTATACGCTCTAATCGAACTAAGTCCTTGAATTGTTTCTCCAAAATTTGAATAAACAGGACTACGTGTACTTGAATCAAGACGTCGAAGTTGTCTTGAAGATGCCACATAAACACGCTAAAACAAAAACATAAAATCTCAATAATTATTATGAATAGTTTTTCGGTAAAATACCTGAATAAAAGAAAAAAGTATAGCAAGAGGTATTAATGCAAAAATGGAAAACCATGAACCATACATCAATATAATAATAGTTATTAATACTTGTGATAATGTAGTAAATGAGGATGAAAATGAAGTAGGTAAGGATGAATCAATTGCATCAATATCTTTAGCAAAGCGATTAAGTATTCTTCCGATCGGTGTTGTATCAAAAAAAGCCATAGGTGCACATAACACACCAAATAATATAGATGAATGTAATCTTCTACTAGCAGCATACGCAGAAAGATAAACAAAAAATTGCATAAAAAAACCGATAAATCCTAGAAAAGAAGAGCATCACACTAAAATCTAGTCTTTTTTCTACAAGCAAGCATAGCTAAGAGCAAAAAAGAAATCAAATAGTATTGCTATTATCATTATTTTTTTTGTTAACCTCAAGAAATATAAATGGAATAAATATGATAATCATTATTGGTATTGTTTCAGGCAGAAAATTAGCAATAAGAATAAAACAAGTAACAAAACCAAGTATGGCATTAAGCGTTGAACGTAATGTAAACATTATAACATTGTCAATCGTATCAAAATCATTTGAACAACGATTTATTATTCTACCAATAGGTGTTTGTTCAAAAAAAGATAATGGTAATCGAAATAAATTCAGAAGAAATTTATAAAATAATTTACGTGATGCATTTAAACTTGTTTTAAACATAACATAAGTGCCTACGAACTCAAATAGAACTATAAACGTTTTTCTCTTTAATTAATATTCTTCAAATGAATTTTTCATGAAATTAAAAAAAAAAATTGTTTTTTAATTTATTACCTTGACAAAGTCCTAATATTGAATAAACTGTTATACCATGTATTTTACTGATTGATGATGATCTATCATGAGTTGATACTGTTTCATTTTTAGATCGATCTGTCCATCTTGATAACCAAACATTTGTACTTAATGATGAAAGTGTTGTCAATGAAAATAAGATACATATGATTAAAACCATTGGTATTGTACAAGCACGAACATAAGTAAGAAATACAATTAATTTAACCTAACATTTTTATATTTTGTAAATCGTACAATAATAAAAGAAACTAAATTAAATTAAACTTACTGAACCAGTTTCAACAGTTTCTTTTTGAATAAGTTTATCTTTTTCTTCTTTCAATTCCCTTGTAGTTACTTCAACTGTTGTTGTTTCCTCTTGAATCTTATCTGCAGCTGTTTTAAAGATATTTTCATTGATTTCAATTGGAGATCTTGGTGGAGTTTTAGGTTCTAAATTGAAAAAAAAAGGGGGAGGATTGACTAATACCATTAGTCAATGTGATTCCATGGTAAATTTGTTTAAGCCTCAGAGGTCTTGTCAAAGTATGTGAACCATACTAACCATGACGAACACAAAGGGCAATATTTAATCGATTAGGTAATCACATCGATGAGAGAGAGAATCGATTTACACGTGTTTTATCGATCGGTCTAGCCGATGTCTAACTACGACTCCGGCCTAACCGATCAACTCATATCGATGAACTGTGATATAAGATGATATAGATCGACATGGTGAAATTACACGCAGAAAGAAAAAATTCTATACATAAGTCTGATGTTCGTATCTAACTTACAACCATATTTTCTTGTTACTAATAAAATACACAAGAAATTTCGTTTATTAAGGAAAATTATTAATCGAACAAATTTAATATTCGACATCTACTATTTCGTATGAAATTCAATCAAAATAATAACAAGTGAAAAATAAAAATATCCTTTGAAAAGAAATCAATGAATCTTTCCTTGTCTTAATAATGTTTTTTTTTAATTTTCATTATTCATTATAAAACATAGTTTCTCCAAAAGAAGTGTTTGTAGTTTTTATTAGTTTGACTACATGATTTGGTCCAAGATTACAACTTTATCGATCCGAATGAATGAAGATCTATCGAGATTTCGAGATTTTAACCCAAAATTCTCAATACGCTTGACCAACTATTTGTCTTCATTCAAGGACAATTACAGCATGATCTTCAAATTACTTTTTTTAATTCTAACTCTATTCTTAATAGATCTTCACAATGATCAACTTTTGTTAACACTTTTTCTTCAATTATCGCTGTCGATTCATTACCACATACTAAACAGTATTCATTCAAATAGCTTAGATGTCTTTTGAAAGAATAACCATCGATATGTACTGTTAGTAAAAATAAAATAGCGAACATATCTTTATGTTGATAAATTTTTGATTTTCCGACGAAAACAAAATCATAAAATACTGATGAATTCGAGAGAAATTAAAGATTTTACAACTTGTCAAATATGCAACTAAACATTTGTTTAAACATCAACTATCAGTACTCAAAATGTGCTTACTCATTCTATATGTTAAAAAATTATCCAGTGTAATTAGATGAGTGGACAAATTTTATAAGAAAAATCATGGGTAGTCTTGTATCAAAGTTTGATAACCCATGGATCGGCTTTCTTCAGTTTAGCCCAATCCAATGAGACCTCTGTTTTATACATATATAATATAAACTATAACGTATTTTATACCTGTATCACTTAATTTTCGTTCAGTGGCTTCCATAATAATTGCAGATACAAGATCACGTAAAATTTTACTGTTATTCATTAATTCAGCATATGGTCCATGATCAATGATTTCACCACGTGAAACAACAACTATTTCATTACATTTATGTAAATGTGATACACCATGTGTTACTAAAAGACGAGTCTAAAAATCAAATTAAAACGAACACTTTTTTTTAAAGTAATTACTGAATAAAATTATTTTACTTTAGTTTTTAGTAAACTATTTGGTCCAATACCATGTTTAAATATATGAGCACCAACATGTGCATCAACAGCTGATAAAGGATCATCAAATAGATAAATATCTGCTTCACTATATATAGCTCGAGCTAAAGAAACTCGTTGTCTTTGTCCACCAGATAGATTAATACCCTATTTTTAATTTATTCTTATAATTATATATATATTACCGAAGCTCTACCATATTTACCTTCTCTCCAATTTCTGTTTCATCTCTATGTGGTAATATATCTAAAATTAAAGATATTGATTAGAAAAAAAATCAAAATAAATTTAGTATACCCAAATCAGGTTTTAATGCACATGCTTCAATAACTTGATCATATAATTTTTGATTAAAAACTTTTCCAAATAAAATATTTTCTTTAACTGTTGCATTTAAAATCCATGCTGTCTGTGGTACATAAGCTACTGTTCCACTGATATCAACTTGTCCAGTAATTTTACTCATTTCACCGAGTAAAACCGATAATATACTTGTTTTACCTGAACCAACTGTTCCAACAAATGCAACAAGTGAACCTCGACGAATTTTCAAATTAATACTAAATGAAAAGAAATAATTTACTTTCTAATAAATATTTATTTAGCTTTTTCTTCTATACTTTTTTAATATAATTGGATCTTCATTTGAATTTGACCATCGAAATGAGCCATCCTTAATTCTTATTACATTACCATCAGAATCAATAGTTGTTTTATTGACAGCATATTCATCGATTTCTTCATTATTTAGAAACTTTTGTATACGTTTGTTTGATACATTAGCCTAAATAAAAAAAACCACACATTATAAGATATATCTTAAAAATATTCTCAATTTACTTCAATAATACTATTAATAATAGTCGGAAATACAACAAGTGGAAATCGAAGTAAATTAAATAATGCTAATGAAACAAAAGCTTTTTCGGCTGTTAAAATATTATCCTTTGATGATAATACATATGTAGCAAATGTTGCAATGCATACCTTAAAAAGAAAACAAACAAATATTTGACGAATATATTTAATAGTCAATAAAAAATTATTTACAAGAATTGGTGCAAATGACCATATTGCACTTGAAAAAGAATTTAGAATAGCTTTTTGACGTATACATTGAAGTTCCTTTTCTCGTACATCGTCTATTCGTCGCATAAAAGCTATTTCCCATGCATATAATTTTAAAACTTTTATTCCATTAAGAACTTCATTCATCATTTTTATTCGCTGATCTTTCAATTTCATTTGTTTTGTCTAAATTTAATTTTGAATTATGATTTGAAAAAAATGTTTTTTTTTTAAACTATCGACATACTGTTAACTGCTTTATAATTCTTTGTAAAAATAAATTAAGTGGAATTAAAAGAATTAATAAAAGAACACCAGGTATAATTGCTAATTGCATTTGTCGATAAAGCAGTGTAAGTGCAAGACAAATTTGAAATGGCCCTATTATTATAAAACAGTTAGATTTAATTATAAAAAAAGTTCTGGATAACAGTAACGGCCCCGATGAAGTGCTATTATTCTTTATGATTTTGTGCTGATATTTTGTTTGCATGTGTGCGACAATAAAACCTGATCGCCGGCACTAACTTGCCCTCTGTTGGCTCACATGTACTAGAGTTGTAATTCAGGTAGCATTTTCCTCATATGATCACCTTATCTCAAACATATTGGCGCAAATATATTCATCTCACCATTGATGAGAAAGGTCACTGTCGTAGTTATTTCTAGTTTGATATCAGTGTAAGATCACTTTAAAATAACTAAGATTATTGTCTTTTCATTGAAGAACAAATGTTGGTTTTTACTAAGCTAGATCTTTTCAAAATTTCAGTATAAATTTCCCATGAGATGACAAGTCTGTTCTCAGAGTTTTACAACCGCAACATTGAATGAAGTTGAATTAGCACTACGACATAGTCTAATTATCTTAGAGCATGCTAATTACGAAGATCTGAACTATGTATCACGGACTTTGCGAATAATAAAGTAAACACATGGAACTGTCTTTAGCACTAGAAAAACAAAGCATTGCTAGCTTGTGCAATAGCAAAATAACAAATAGAAAGTTGTTCAGTACATATTTTCGCTGAATATATTGTTCAAAAGGACTACATGATATATAAACCAGAACTTCAATACAGATAAACAGATGAAGGATGGTTTAGTGCTTACAGTCAAAATTTATCATCTTAGGCATGTAACCAAAGTATCAGTTCAATCTTATAAAGAATAATAACACTTCATGAGAGGCAACTTCTTTTGTCCAGCAATGTAGTGTTAATTATGATACTTACCAGACCATAAAACATGAATATATGAAGTAATTTCACCGAAACGTGAAGCATCAATCGACATCTATATTTAAACGTGACAAAAAAACATAACATAATTTATCTTTTAAAATGAAAAAAAAGAATTTATTTACTAAATTAACAATTTCTCCGGTTGTAGTTCCTTGTTTAGCCGAATTCGATAATTTTAAACTCTATATAAGTAAATAAAAATAGTATGAATAAAAAAAAAAAAAAAACAAAATTTACTTTTCGATACACAAGTCCAGTTATAGCTGAACGAAATCGAAGACCCACAACATATTGTCGATGAAAATATGCTTGTAAAAATAATGTTTGACAAAAAACAGTTGCACCAAGTAGAAGAGCATAAAATACGCCGAGCCATGTTGATGCTGTTGGATCGTTTAAAAACGTAAGAACTTGTCTAGATAGAAAGATCAATATCTTGTTTCAAACAAAAGAAAAATAGAAATTTTTTTTTGTACTTGAGAATCATCGGTCCACTAAATTGTAAAAGATCATGAATAACTTTCATCAAACCACCAGCAATAAGTTTGCCTTTATATGCTAGAAAGAGAGCACGCCAAAAAATGATTGGTTTTCTATTTGTTGTTGGCATTGCTTTTATATCAACTGATGGCTTTTTAATTCAAAAGAAAAAAGATTAATTAAAAACAAACATATCTTAATCACTTACCAATTTATTTAACTAAATGGCAAAGAAAAATATCAATATATATTTATAGAAAATTTTTGCAATGATAATAAATTCTATTCAAGTTTAACGAATCAATACATAATATAAAACTTACTAGATCTTGATTTTCATCTCCAATTTTCTTGTTATTCGAAGTATAATTTTTATTCCACATTTTACTGTTTTCATAAGCTATGGATTTTGCTCGATTGATTGTTCTAGAAATTTTATCATAATAAAAGAATAGACAAAATATTTCAATCTATCAACCCTGCTAAACAAGCTTGTACACGATGAACAACATTAACAGCTCGTTCTGATATTTCCAACTGCCAACAATCTTCTTCAGTTAATGGTTTTTTATAACCACGAATAATAAGTGGTGTCACCCACCAGAAAGTTAGACGAGATGGAAAATTTTTATATAATTCAGGTACAATGGGCTAGAAATAGAAAAGAATAAATTTGAACAGGATTGATTTCGATCAATCAATTAGATATCGTACCCTTTCATCGGCTGCTAATTTAGGAAAATTATATCTTTCTGCTAAACAATGCGAAATAAATGAACTAAATGCAAGAATGATATGAAGCCAAACACGAATGACTTCGTTCAATATACCCCTTGATTGATCCTATATGATATTCATTGAATAGTTTAAACAAAATTTAAAATAAATAAAAATAATTTACTCGTTGTTGATATTCAATTGAATAAACAATCACGTCAGGTATTATAGTCACAAAGACTGATAACCAAAAACCAAAAAGTAGACCCGAACAAAACATACCTTTACGACGCTCATAATTCATTAGCCAAAATATAGTTACTAATGTTATTGTAGATAAAACTGGACTTATAATATTGGCTTGACTTTTTTCTTTGTCCGATGGTAATGTATAATAAACAATACGAACAACTTGAACAAGAAGAAACAGAACAGCGAGAACCTATGATATAATTAAAAAGCAATTGTTTAGATTTCCTTTTTGTTTTTCATTCGATGTCAATTGTCCTCGACAACTAATCATAATTAGAGGTGTTAGCCGCTCCTTTGATCGGCGGCGGTGACGACAAAATTTTTCCTATGTTATTTCACAGGATCTTTCGTAGGTCCCTACTATCAAGGCAAGCATTAGATGTTCTATTCTCACAGAATTATAGCGCTGTTCTCTTCTTATCACGCTTATGTCTTTTTATGAAAAATTTTTCCATTAGATGTAATTTTACTTTCATTAATTCAAAAAATTCACACTATCCCATCATAAAATAACTTCAAACCACACAACAATAACTCATGATATAAACCAAAATGGCAATAATGTGACTATCCATCTAAAAGACAAACTAAATTCAAACATGATGGCTTATGGTTGGCCCTTTATCTTTACTTTACCGGATAAAGTAAAGTATTAGGACTTTAATTTACTGAATAAAGTAAAGTATTGAAACTTTACTTTACCCAAAAAGTAAAGTAAAGTAAAGTGAAAAAAAAATGAAGTTGTATGTTTTAATTTTTTTGGCAATTTCTTAGTTCAAAATCATTTATAAATAATCTTAGAATGTATCAAAGTTTATTCAATATCGTTTCGTCTTAAAATTAGTGTGAAAAAAAAGTAAAGCCGAAAAATGTCGATTTTTTAGGAATACATGAAAAATATTGTTTGGTTAACTTTATCTCACTTTATTTTCCACATTCAAACTATAGCATTTTACTTTAGTCTACTTTACTTTACTTTACTTTTTCAAAGTAAAATAAAGATAATGTGCCACCCTTATGGTAGCTTGAATTGAATCATAAGTGAAACTAACATTGAAATTAGAATTTAAATCCAAATTCAAATCGATACTTTTCTGTGAGTTGAAAAAAAAAAAAGATTTGTTTCTTTTTAATTATTCGAATTTAAATTCCAACTAAATATTTTTCTTTTTTCTAAATTGGCAGGAGTGTCGATTGGAATTCGAATTCGAATCGTAATGTTAGTTACATTTATATTCGAACTCAAACTAGACAGTTAGTCGAAACTGCATCCTGAATAAGTCGAAAATCGCGAAACGGAGAAAATAATAGCGATGAACTTATTATGCATGAAGGAACAAGGCAAATGAGAATCTAATAAATTTGCTAGCGTCACAAAATCACAAAGAGACATATTTGCTGATCAGCTCAGTTTTCAGACCATATGTCATCCAAGAAAATATACAACAATTTCTATTTTTTAAAAGTTCTCTTGGTTTCAGCAATCTCTAACTGTCACATAGATCAAACTTGAGATGTTACTGATTATTATCAACAAGTGATAGTTTAGAAAAAGAGGAAGCATGAACTGTGATCTTTCACTTGATCGGCGACGTTAGCGAAAAATCGGCGGCTAACACCTCTAGTCATAATGATAATTAGATTATGAGAAGACTTCAACTCTATGTCTATATTATATACTTTCAATACTCTACTGATAATATCTAAAAATTATACGGATCCGGTGAAATCAGCTATTTTTGTCATTCTGTTTTTATTGAAGAAATCATTGTTTACTGTTCTTTTTTATGTTTACTGCATTCAGAAAAGAAAACAAGAGCATAGCAAAAGTAATATAAGATACAGATATTTCATATTACATCTTTTTCTCTCATCAATAATCGAATAGAAATATTGCTAAATTATCAAAAACGAAACTCTATAATCACAATAATTTTTCTTATCTTTTCACAGAATCGTAGAGTATAATGATTTCTGCGATTATATCGAAAGAATTATAGTTGAGCGAAGCAGATATCACCTTCACAAACTATGTAGAACTATTGGGAATACTGTTGCAATAATCTCAAAACTTATACATGAGTCAGTTCAATTAGATGCTTCAACTCTTATTATTTTCTCGTTACATTTCAAGATAAGCACAAATAAATATGCTACTATGTTTACCATTTTAGTAATGAACAAATTTGAAATAGGCAATGGTTGTGGCTGAATTTTTCGTTTATGTAACATCCATATCCAAAATGGTAAAATCAACCAAAAAATTCCCACCGAAACCCATTGTAAAGCTGTATCACGAAAACATTCCGTTAAAGAAGGATATGGTGATTTTGTTACATTCTTATCCTGTATAAAAAAAATATATATATATACTTTAACAAAAAAAAAACAGAGAAAACACGAATAATTTTGATTCAAAACACACCCAAAATGGAGTCGTGCAGATGCGAACCATTTTTCTAAAATACGACACAAGCTAGAAAATGATGCTTGATAATTAGCGTTTTTTTCAAATATATATATATATATATATATATATTCATGTATTTATCAAACATAAGATTTAGAATAAGAAACAATTTTTTTATTAACGTTTTCTTTCTTTTTTTTCTAAGCATCTTTTCGATTCAGTTAGAACATACAATGAACATAGAGAAAAAAAACATGTTATAGACAGTCAAATATTTGTTGATAACATTCGTATTATTTTTTGTTTTTGAAATCATAACAAAAATCTTTCGATGATCACAAGAACATATTTCCTAGATTTACATATGTTAAACATACATATTTTAGACTGTCAATACAGAAAAAATAAAATAAAACGAAACCAGAAAAACAAAGACATACAGAAATACAGACAAAAAATGACAATAAAAGACGATGAATGATATTAATATGACTAAAATGATTTAACCCTTGCATAAACTTTCAAGAGCATCACTTGTGTTCCAATGCATTGTTGATAATGCTGAACGAGCTTTTTCCTTAAAAAAAAACACAAACAAGCTATCTAACATATTATTGAAAGAAAAAATTTTACTTCAGAAAAACCCATTTCAACAAGACTTGCTACAGCTGCATCACATTCTGGTTCAGGATTTGGTCCTAGAGAATATCATAAGACATATTTCTAGATTATTATTTTAAAATTGTCATTTACCATTTGCGTATACGTTTGCCCAATGTCGAGCTGTTTTCTCAAATAATTTTCGATCCTTTTTGTATTGATTAGCAACGACTAAAATAATAAATTATACGAAAAAAATAATTTCCAAAATATTAATATTACCTGCATCTTGCGGATCATCTGGTTCTGGTGTTGCAAGCAATGCTTGTAAACTGAGCAAGACTGTTCGTATAGTCATTGCAGCTGCCCTATTATAATAAATAATTATGTAAACTGCGTATAAATTTAGGGATTGTAGGAATCAATGTGATAAAATCAGGAAAATAGACAGCACAGTCTCATAGAAAAAAATCAAGGTTTTGTAAAACCTATTTTATTATTTCTTTACAAGATAAAGTGTGCATATTAACGTATAATTATAAACTCTGAACACTTGCTCCCCTAACAGATACTCACTCTACGCATATTGATCAACGGAAGTTTTTACAAGTTATACGCCATTGGACAAAAGTCCTTCTTCCTCCGCAACTCATTCTTTTCGTACAAAACCTCTTCAATTTCAATTAAAATATAGGTCTTTCAATTCAATTGAGTAGCACTAGAAATGAGTTAGTTGACAGAATGTTTCACGAGTTAATTATCTCTATTCTTTGCAACTACTACCTGTTTTACTAGTTTGAATGATTAAATTCTCATCAATATCAAGTCGAAGGTCTTTGGAAAATGTGATATAGGCAAGTATACAAACACAGATGAAGTAACGCTAGTAATACATTTAGAAAATATCAAGGAAAAGGAGATGACCCAACCATGAAGTATTCTATCGATTAACTCATTTGTACCTGTCACTGATTGTATTGAATGACGTACGTTGCTCATTTTAGCAGGCCCTAATTAATCATAGACTACACTAATATACAGTATTTCAGCCATTCTTGTAACCAACATTCACTTGAAACTGAAGAGGTTCGATGTAAAAGACAATGATGGCGGAGAAGAAAAGACTTTTATCCATGGGTGTATATTCAATTTAACTGTACGTACTACTCTCGCCCTTTGCTTCTTTGTCAATATCTACTAATGGTTGCATCACTTCGAATGAAATTTTTTTTTTAAATTGTTGTGAAACTCTGATGAAATGGATTTCTTTTATTTCTAAAACATCGATATAATCTTAGTAAACTATTGAGTACAACTTTCAAAATTGTTATACACACAATGGTGAAAACGCGAGAAATACTATTCCTTATGATTTTCCAGATTTTCTGTAAATCCATTATGAAACAACATAAAAACCAATAAGTTTTCCCTTCTTGCTGGAAAATATTCTACAACTATTATGATAAAAACCTTGAAAATAGATTAAATATATATTTCATACAATATCAATAACAAGCAACAATGATATCTTTTCATGAAAACCTAATAAATTCTTACCATTGATCTTTAAGAATATCAAGACAAATTGCACCAGTAACTGAACTAATATTTGGATGCCAAATTTTTGTTGTAAATCGAACTTTAGGTGGATTAAATGGATAGGTATCTATAAATAAAAATCTGTTAGTGCATTTTCAGTGGCATTAAATTGTGAAACACAATATAGTTGCTGTTGCCAATCACAAAGAGACTATTTTATCTATCTATCTTGGGACACATTTTCACCATGTTTTCATTTAATCCTTCAGAAATGCATAAAGGAAATAGTTAATTTTTTATAAAGAAATATTACTGATATGCGATCTGTCACAGCTTTGAGGAAAGTAGGGGACGGAATGAGTTATTCATATACAACATGTGGATATGGCTTATTTTTATCTAGAAAACACATCTTTTTCATAGAAATATTAATATGTACCAGTCAACTAAAAATTTCATGGAGAAAAAGAGAAGTTTCTAAAAGAAAATTTTCATTGAAAAATGCATACTGAGACCTTTATCGTAAACTGTATTTTCATTTTTCTCTTAAAGCATGTTTGACATAAAAGAATGTGAAAAAACTTTAAAAGTCAAGGTTTTTTTAGGAAACTTGTATCTCAGTGCAGAAGTACTTATCCATTTTTATGCTAATTGAACGAAAGTGTTAGACAGAGAGAAACATTCTGTAAAAGTTTGATTGAGTTTGAAACTGTGCTAACGTATAGGTCACCGACTACACTGAGCATATCATCATAGAAAATCCTTAGTTGAGAAAGTATGCAAACTTTTTTCAATAATAAACTTGTTAGAACAAAGTTTTTCATACAGAACGATAGAGTAAGAACTATACAATTTATTCCATAGATCTATCTACTCTCTTTAGAAATAGAAATTTTCCTCTATGATGACAGAAACTTGAACATTTTCAAGACCTAAGATTTTCCCAACACTTTGAGAACTAGAATGATATTTTTTTAACTGTAATACTCAGTCATTAGTCAAAGTATATTAGACATCACTTCAATTGCAAAAAATATCATCTGCATTTTTTCACCACATATCCACCTTGCTATCAGCTGTGAGTTTAACTCTAAATGATTGATTATTCCTATACTACAATACTCTTTTTACATCATATTTCACAATGTATATTCTAATATCATTTTTCTATTTCTTGGTTTTGTTGTATATTCACTTACCAACAACAATAATATCAACATGAAATCTTGCACCAGCATATGGTGTATCGGGTGGTCCTTGAATAGATCCAGTTAAAAAAATTTCTTTTTTATTTGACTGTGATCCTAAATTAGGTACATTTCTTGTTAATTCACCTTCTGGCATTTTTAAATCAATTCCATTCTAAAATAAAATAAATTATTTTAAAACAAATACATATATAAATAAATAAATAAATATTATTGCATTAGATTTTCTTACAGATTCATTTGTTACGACTTCTTTGAATTCTTTCATAATTCGATTCATTGCAATATTCATGATTCTTGTTTTGTTTTATATTAAATTATGAAATAATATATCTGCAAAGTGTTTACTATCATGTTTTTTATTAGTAAATAGGAATATTAAAAGAAAAGTTTATTGATGGTTGCCATGAACACTGAAAAACTATTCTGATTTGCCTAAGACTTTCTTTATTTAGATTTTTTGTTTTTTTTTTTCTCTTGTTCTACACACAAAAAAAAACTGAACACACGTATAAACTCGAGCGCGTACGGCACACAAAAAAAAGAACAAAACAACGAACAATACAAACGCCGAAATAACGTGCATCAAAAATCAAACAACAAAGAAAAAAACCAAAAAAAAAAAGAAAGATTCTATTTTTTTTCGCTAAAAAAATAACTGAACAAAGACACGTACGCAAGGTTGAATCTTACCAATAATATAATACGATGAACAGGGTTGCACAAAATACTGCTGCATAGACGCAAGCGACTGTTGTTTATCCCCTTTAAAATCGAAGAAAAAAAACCACACATGTATTATGACTCTAAACGCGGACGGGGTGCTTAAATATCACACACACACACACAAACAAGCAAAACAGAGAAAAAGAAGCTCTTGCTCAATCAAAATCCTAGTAAGTAGAAAAGAAGGATTCGTCTTAATTTTTTTAAAAATTTAGTCATCATTTACGTTACGAAAAGAGGCATGATTGTCCACCGATTAGCACCAAAAGAAGCATCATGACATGTAGAATTTTCTATGATTTGAATTAATGTAATATACGTGTGCTTCTTCCTGAGGCTGTCAAAAACCGAATATCCTGAGCTATAAAACATGAAGATAGAGCAACTAAGAGAAACAAATCAAAAGAAAGTAAACAACCGGATCGGTGTAATACAAATAATAATGAAAATTCATACGGTGAACATAAAAGAACGAAGAAATAGACTATATGAGATTTAATATCAACAAAAAAAAGCAACAAAAAAAAAATCAGATTCGTTATTGATCTTTTTTTTATTGCTACAGAAACACACAACTGGAAAAAAGAAAGAACTACAATGTTGAGTGTATTGTTTAATAGAGAAAACAAAAGAAAAATCAAACAAACTAGTGAAAGACTGGCGCTAGACAGAAGAAGAAAAAGAAAACCACAAAAAAAGAAATAAATCTATATCTAGTGTGAAATAATAGAACATCACCGCGTGCTACCTACATTGCATGCACTCACGCAAACGAAATCAATAACAATGCATAGCTTTTAGAACAATTTATTCTATGTTCATCAATTTCGCACATTTGTTAATTGCAATAAAATTACACCTTTGTTTGGCTCTGAGTATCTAAATAAATATTTGATATAAAAACACCGAACAATCGTTTTCTTAAGGATATTAGTTAAATACTCTCTGATCCAATTTGTGCCATTTCGGGAT